ACTCTGCTATGATTTTTTATTTTGTGATTAACATGAAGTTTGTATGTAACATCTCATAGATGAGGTAGCCCTTTTTTTGATGGTCTCTCGTCTTCGTTAGCCTATGCAGGTTCCATCCCTCTCCTCTTCCCCTTCTATGTTTTTGTTGTTACAAATTATGCTTTTTTGTTTTGTGAGTTTATGACCAAATTGAACTGTTTTTAGTTATTTTTGATGGTTCTTTTCCTTTTATCCTTTATGTTCTAATTAAGTGTTTACTAACCTATTTGGATATAGAGCTGAAATTTTCTGATTTTGTCTGTCTATCTCCTTGCTCAAAACTTTGTAAACCTTTGCTTTTTTGTTTCAGGTAGGAGGGCTTCTTTCAGCATTTCTTGTAGGGTAGGTCTAGTGGCAAAGAGCTCCCTCAGCTTTTGTTTGTCTGGGAAAGCTTTTCTTTCTTTGTCATATCTGAAGGATAATTTTTCTGGATAGAGTATTCTTGGCTGATAGTTTTTGTCTTTCAGTATTTTGAATATATCATTCCACTCTCTCCTATCCTGTAAGGTTTCTGTTGAGAAACTGAAAGCCTGGTGGGGTTCCTTTGTAGGTTATTTTCTTCTCTCTTGCTGCATTTAACATCTTTTCTTTGTCATTGACTTTTGACAGTTTTACTATTATATGCCTTGGAGAAGATCTTTTTACATTGATGTAATTAGGAGTTCTATTGATTTCATGTACTTACATGTCCAGTTCTTTCTCCAGGTTTGGGAAGTTCTCAGCTATTATTTCTTTGAATAAGCTCTCTACTCCTTTCTCCTTCCCTTCTCCTTCTGGGATGCCTAGAATCCTTATGTTGCTTTTTCTAATTGAGTCAGATATTTCTCAAAGAATTTCTTCATTTTTAAAAAATCTTAGTTCTCTCTCCTGAGAGTTGTCATTTTTCTTTTGTTGTACAGTATTACTATAGTTCTTCGTGGTGTTTGGTGAATTGATCCTCTGCTGGTGTATTTGTGGTAGTAATCACCTTTTCTTATTTGGGTATGGCATCAGTTACTTTGGTTCTGGTCACTTGGGTCTCATGTTCCTCTACTGTCTCTCTGCAGGCTTAGATGCCATTGTCCCATGTGTTATCTGCACTGCTGTTCTCCAGTTGTCTGAGGGTGCTGGCTGCACAACTGCAAAGGGTGCTGGGCTCATGGGTGTCAGTATCTCTGGTGGGGTCCTGGGGACCCAGGGACTTGTATGCAGCTCCTGCTGCTCATGGAGCTGGTATCAGGGGTGCCAATGCTGCCACTGCTCCACTGACCATTGTGAGCAGGGACTGCTGCCATGCCACCACTGCCCCACAAGCAATCATGTGCATGTGGAACTGCCACCAGCTGCCACCACCACCCTGCATAGCTATTTGACTTTTGATCATTGTATTTTGCCTTATCCAAATCAGTAATACCAATACTTTTCTTTCACGTCTCAAAGTCTCAATTTCCTATACTTACTAGGTAATTTTCAAGAGACCCGATTGAATCTTTCTCCCAAAAGTAAGTTTTTCACGCTTTTAGTGGGAAAGTAGTACCTCCATTTTCATCCCTACCAAACTTTAAGAGTGATCTTGAAGTTTTAAAATCTTTGAAATGTTTTGTAAATTCAGTTATATTACATCTGAATGAGAGCAACTGGCTTTTAACATATATATTACATATGAATATAGAGTATCTGACTCTATTCATAATAGTGGTTATATGGAACATGCCATTTTTAGAATCCATAAAAAAATATAGGTAATCTAAAAGAGAGATTTACCAGCTCTGCTAGGCATCAGTGCCCCTTAGGAGACTCCTAAGAATGGTGATTGCTGGACTACACCCAGGCCTTTCAGATGCAGAATCTGCAGAACAAGACTTAGAATCTATATTATAAAAAAAGGAAAACAACTCACACAAACAAACAAACCTGCCCATATGACTCTCCTACAGCCTGTTCACAGATAGGCATTTAGTAACCAGTGTTTGAGGGGACATGAGTAAACCAGAAAAAACATCTCTCATTCATTTTATTTTGGATATAAGTTGTAATTTAGGAAAAATACAATTAAATGCTCCTAAAATAAATTTATTCATTGTATAATTACATGTATTAGGCAGGATTTAAAAATTTATGGACTTGATAGGAAATAGACCATTTTTTCTCCCATTTGAAGGGATGAAAATAGAAGTGAAAAGCAATCTCCATTGTCTCAAATATCCTTTCTGTGTCTTTTTCCCTTTCTACTTTTTTCCCTTGTCCTCCAAATGAAGATTATGTAGTGCTGGAAAGATGTGGTTTAGGTGAATTGGGGATTTATTTTTGGTGGCAATGTTAGCTCAAGGCGAATCCTCCTTTAAAAAAAAAAAAATCTCAATAAATATTTGCAATATATTTAAAAAGAAAAAATTAAGATGATTCCCAACTGTCATAACCAAAGGCTTTCTGTGATCATACTGGTTGGTGACTGAATGAGGACTGCATAGGTTTCACCACCAGCTGTGTAAATGGTATGTTTTCATGTTACTTATAGTTTCTCTTATAAATGGAAAAGAACAAGTCATTTTTCTATATTGTATAGCAATGATATTTCTCTTTATGTATCATTAACATGATTATGCAATTAATAACGTGATGTCGACCTGCTGTCAGTGTTTGGGAGCTACAGTGTGACCGAAGGCTATTGCTTGATTGACTGTGTGGGGCAATAAAATTTTTTCTCTACCTTTTTAGGTTCTTGTGGTTGGTCTAAGAATTAAACTGACATGAGAAAAACAAACAAATTTAATAAGATGTATACCTCCTGTATATATGGGAAAGACCCAGGAAAACTGAGTAACTCTCTGAAATGGTGGAAGCTATCACCTTAAATACTATCCTCAGCTAACATCAAAATACGATGTTGGGGGTGGGAGAGTCAATTATGGGACGTCACCAGGACAAGCACAGTAAACAAAGATAAAGCTATCATGCAGGTTTAAGTCCTTGCCTTCTCCATTGGTAAGAGTTTCTGCAGATTTAGATATCCTCCTCTTTCTGGAACAGAGAAGGAGGCGCTCTTACAAATGGAAATGTCCTTATAAATGTAAATGTTTTTTTACAAAAGCTAATTTCTACTGTTTTCAGAGCTTTTCCTGTGTCTGCAGTTTCTTAAAAAATCAGCCTAAAATAATCCTTATGTTAAAGAGATATATTTTGGAGTGGCAAATTCTGCTCCCCTACAACTGCTTATTTATTAACAAATGCTTTATTAACAATAAAACAAAAGATATGTCAATGAGAAAGAGACTAGTCAGTCAGACAAAGTATAGGAAAAGAATAGTCTCAGACAAATGTGATCATTATCCATCTAGCACTAACCACAGGAAGGGAAGATGCCCTCATCAAAAGCCTTGGTGTTGAGCTCTTCTTTTTAGCATTGTTCCTCTCTGTTTCTGAAATGGATGGATCAGACTATTTAGTAATCTAGTAATTACAAAAAACTGTAGAGGAGAAAGAAGATTCCTCTACTGTAGGTTCTTCTGGCTGGTCTAAGTATTAAATTGACATGAGACAGAATAACAGGAGAACATCAGACAAGTTCAATAACATATATACATGGGAGAAACCCAGGAAAACTGAGTAACTTGCCAAAATGGCTGAAGCCACCACCTTAAATACCATCTTCAGCTAAAGACAAAGGACGTTCTTGGGGGTAGTAGTTTGGGACTTTAGAGGGGAGAAAGGCAATTCACATGGAGATGGAAAAGCAAATGTTTGGTCAACAAATGTTTGCCATACTTTACTAAAACAATCAACATGGGAAGGACTTTGATTAGATGGGCCTTGCTAGGTTCGTCCCTATTTCCACACCTAGAGTTATCTATGGTGATAGCTCCTTCCTGGGACAGGCCTTCTATCTTAAATTCTTTTAGGCAGTTGGGGGAAAGGTCAAAGTTTCTTTCTGAGTCTTTTGTTTTAAAAATAATCACGCCAAAGAATCACATTTGGGGGTGGCAAATTCTGGTTCACCACACAGTCATACAATATACTTCCTCATTTTAATTTTCATGCTTGCCAAACAACCCTTTGATGACTTACCATTTGGTTTCTATGTAGGGAAAGAATGCAGTGCTGCAGAGAAATTCTGTTAACCTTTATTTATATATCTCATTTTACGTACTCATTTTAGTCTGATGAGCAGTAATGTGAACCAGGGTGATAGATCAAATCTCAGCAAGCTGAGAGGTCAACCCTGAAGTTGGAAGGATGCAGTGACAGAAGCTATAGTTGCAGCGTGTGTGTGTATTTTATTTATTTTTTGCAGCATTTATCTTTGTATTGACTGGCAGCGTTGATTCAGTCATTTGGATGCTGGCTGTTTAGACCTTCCTCATTCACTGCTCCAGTGAAAAACATTACGGAAGTGGCGAGGAAAGATGATCTTCCTAGACAGAAGAGGTTCAAGAGTTTATGAGTTACGATGAAGACATGTAAAATACAATTTAATAAGAAAACTAAGGATGAAATGGTAGTGTGTTTCATATGAACTTGTGTGCAGATGAACTTGTTTTAAACTGTAATGGTAGTTACTTGCAGGAAGATAAAATGCGAAGTGTTCTGGTTTAAAAAGGTTCTGATAATTCTGTAACCTTCTGGGAGTATCTTAATCTCTCTGGATCTCAATGTCCTCCGAAGTAAAACTGCAGAGTTTAAAGTAATGGTCTCTTAAAATTCCTTGTAGCTCAGAAAGTCCATAAACCTCTGATCCTCTTGTATTTTGCTTGTGTTTTTCTAAGTACTATTGAAATGACCATCTTAGTTTAATCCTGAGTCAGGAGGTCCATCTCCATTACATATTTGTTTAAGTTTGCGGTGTATGTAATTATAAAACCAACGTTTGACAGATTATAGTTTCACTTTTAAAGTCATAAGTTGTATGTTATTAACACAAGCTGGTATTTCAGAAAAGGAAAAAAAATCTCTTCAACTATGTTTATTTCCATCTGTGTTCACAGGAAGTCCAACACAATTGCCAGCTTCACAGAATATCATTTTGTGCAGATGATAAAACTGACAAGAGGATATTCACTTTCATATGCAAAGATTCTGAGTCAAATAAACATTTGTGCTATGTATTTGACAGCGAAAAGTGTGTAAGTATGCCAGATGTTTTAGGGTGGTTTGTTCTGTTTTACAAGCCAGGAATTGTCTTGTTTCCGGCATTAGTAAAGTATTTGGAAATGAACAAGGTCTGCAAATACTTAACTACACTAATAGATTCATCCTGTCATGAGAATATGCTTCAGGACTTCATCCCTAACTAAATTCTCATGTTCATGGGCACAAGCTTGCATGCATGCAAATTTCTTTTCTTAGAACATCATGCCTGCTTATGTTACACATTTATTTCTCTTATGATCGTTTATTTGTAATTTTAATCTCAAATATAATTTAGTAATATGCACATAATGCAAAGAGTAATGGTGAGCAGAGTTGTTTTTTTTAAGGGATGTGAAGGATCTGATGAAAATAAATATTTTAAACTCCAGGAAATAAAGTCTGTATGGCTCCTTAAAAAGACTCTAATACTTTGAAAATCTTGTTCTTAATTTTCATTATTCAGAAAACTTAACATAATGAAAGGCAATAGAATAGTATGTGTGCGTGTGTGTGCCTGTGTGCATGCATGTGTTGGCACATGAATATAATGAATGTAATCTAAAGTTTTTAGTAAGTAAGAACAATTAGGGAATTCCAAAGTTAAATCCTACAACAGTTCTTTAATCATTTGGGATCTTAAAGACAACCTCAAGTCTTGATTATAAGCATGTTAATGCTAATCATAACTTAGTCTGAGATCCTATTATAAAACATAAGATGTGAATTCTGAGCACACATTGCAGCCATTGATGGCTTTAATGAAGGGAGAACATCTAACCTCAACAAGATTATTGGCTTAGACAGAAAAAAGAACTTAATCCATTTACAGTCGTGTGCTGCATAATGACATTTCAGTCAACAATGGACCACATATACAACAGTGGTCCCATAAGATTAATACCATATAGCCTAGGTGTGTAGTAGGCCATACCATCTGGATTTGTGTAAGTACACTCTATGATGTTCTCGCAATGACAAAATTGCCTAATGATGCATTTCTCAGAACGTATCCCCATTGTTACGCAGTGCGTGACTATATTTGCTCACTTTTTATGCTGTCAAAAATAGCAGAGCACCATTATTATTATCACTACCATGTAACTTAATTCTCTGGTTTCAGTATGTGAGCTTCTTGAGAACAAATACCTTTTAATTTCTCCTTGTCAGTCCTACATCAGGTGGACAATAGATGCTCAATGAATTTTTTCTTAAAGAAAAGACCACATGGAAAAACTCACAAAAAGTAGAGCAAGTTCTTATTTGTATCTCTTAAACTATGGTGCTCTAAAAAGGCAAACTAACATGCTAAGCTACTTGGAATCATAATATATTTTGAGAATTTGAGGGAGAACTTCTCCCTAGAAAAATATACTTAGCCATATGAGACAATAATATATGCATAATAGGGCATTTTATATGAAGTGCAAGTTGTTTTTGAAATTTATCCTAATGAATGAATGCAGTATATTTAATGTTCCATCTTAGCCATGATTGTTTGCAGATGTTTTTTCTATGTGATTGAGAAGATTAAAGCTGATATTTGTTGAATTCTTCTATGTATAAGGTATAATAACCTTTTACCACTTCTACCAAGCAGTAAACTCAGTTGTCCTTCCTTCTTGCCTTACACATAGAAATAAATTTTCTTGGGGTTCTTTGAAATATTAAAAATCATAGTTCATTATAAATATTAGCCTTCTTATAGTTTTGTGTCACGTGTTTTATCTTTATTTGATCCCCATCCAAATTTCTTACGTGGTTATTTAAAACATAAGCTTACCAGAATCCTTGTGTAATTATATTGTGTTAAAAGTGTAAACTCCATTTCTCCCTGATCATAATTGTTTGTAATTTATTTCAAGAATTTCAATTCATTGACCCATTATTCTCTTTGGATATAGCATATTGGCTTTCTTTTTTCTTGAAGGTTGAAAATAATTTCTTGAAGCCTACAGCAGTGGCTCACAACCATTACTGTGCATAATATTCATAAGCAGGGCCTTTTAAAATACAGTTCTCTGGTTCCCACTTTAAAAAATAAGTTCATATTGATGGGGGCTGGAGCTCAGGAAATCCACAGTGAGCAAGTTCACCAGGTGATTCTGCTGCAGGTAGATGAGAATCTGGGCTTTGAAAAGCAGGGGTCAAGATGGTTCTCCAACTGTAAGTTGGCATCACTTTCGTGAGCTCAAAGAGGACACATTTTCTCGAAGTTTTATTTCCTCAAAATTTCATTTCTTCGAATTATAATAATGACTATGTTTATAAAGTTGATTTGAGATGTATGTAGAATTGTTGATATGCCATCCTCTGTAATTCTCATTTTAAACAACTAATCATAGAGTATTAAAACAGGAAAGTAAATTATGGCACAGCTGGCACAGTGCTTTCCTCTTATTTTAAGAAACCAAGGCCAGAGAAGTTGAGTGACTTTCCCAAAGTTACAAAGCTCGGTAGTTACAGAATCAAGATTAAAATTTAAGACCTTAGATGGCCACTGTAGCATTTGTCTCCTGCTATATTACTGCCATAACTGTGACCTATTCCAGAGTCTATCTGCTCTTTTTGGGGCCTTCGTCTTACCTATTCATTGTATTTTGTCTTTTCAGTATTTCTGTGTACTTGGTGAGAGTTTGAAAGATAGAGGAAATCTTGTATGCCACAAGACTAGAATTCACTACTCTGTTAACAATATCATGTTATATTAATGAATCCCCCTCCCTCTTTGCTAATAGTGAGGATCACATGGGGAGCTAGAGTACCAAGCCCTGCCAAGCAGTAATGAAGAGAGGCATGTGATGAAGCTGAACCTCTGTCCCCACCAGGCAGTAATGAGGCAGTGCTCTCCCATTGCCATTCCCCTGATGGAATTGTGTCAGAGTGAGCCACCCAAAACACAAAGTTTAAATAATTTCTAGACTCTCATAAAATAATATGTAAAATATCCAGGATTCAATTGAAAATCACTCATCAAGAAACTGGAAGACCTTAAACTAATGAAAAAAGATGACCAGTAGATCCCAACACTGAGATGAGAGAGATATTAGAATTATCAGACAGAGATTTTTTAAAAAGAGCCATCGTAAAAATAAAAAATAAATTATTACAAGTACACTTGAAACAATAAAAAGTAGAAAGTCTTTTCAAAGAAATAAAAAATCTAAGCAAAGAAAATAACAGATATAAAGAAAGCCCAACTGGGAATATTAGAAATGAAAAATACAATAACCAAATAAAAAACTCAATGTATGGGCTCAAGGGCAGAATGGAGAGTCAGAGGAAAGAATCAGTGACCTAGAAGATCAAAAAATAGAAAATGCCCAATCTGAACAACACAGATAATAAGCATATGTGTGTGCACATGCACACATGCAGGTATGCACACAAAACAATTCTAAAACCAAAAACAAAATAGAACTTCAGGGACCTGTGGGACTATAACAAAATATCTAACATTCCTGTGTCATCAGAGCCCTGGAAAGAGAGAGAAAAAAAGGTAGCCTTCAAAAAACATTTGAAAACATAAAGTTGCTCACTTTCCAAATTTGGCAAAATATGTAAACCCACAGATTCAAGAAACTGAGTGTACTCCAAACAGGATAAACCGAAATAATTCCACAGCAAGACATATCATATATAGTCAAACTTTTGGAAACTAAAGACAGAGAAAAATCTTGAAGAGAGCAAGAGATAAACAAGTCCTTACCTATAGGAGAAAATCAATTTGAATGATGTTGTATTTCTCATTAGAAATCATGAAGGTGAGAAGGAAGTAGCAAAATATATTTTGAGTGCTGAAAATAAAAAGAGAACTGTCAAACCAGAATCCTAAATCCAGAAAAAATTTACTTCAGGAATTAAAGAGAAATGAAAAAATTATCAGATGAAGGGAAACTAAGATTATTTGTTACTACCAGACCTATGCTAAATAAATGGCTAAACAAAAAGGAAATAATAAAAGAAGAAACTTTGGAACATGAAGAAGGGAAAAATGAACAGTATAAGCAAACATATGGGTAAATCTTTAGTTTTCTAAATTGTGATTGACAGTAGAAGCAAAAAATACTTTCTGACATGATTCTAAGTGCATATATAGAAAATATAAGGCAATTAAACCATAAACAGGTAAAGTTGAAGGGATGTAAAGGGAGGTAAGGTTTCCATATCTCACTTGAACTGGAAAAATGACAGCCCTAGAAGACTGATAAGTTACATAAATATAATGTGAATCCTAGAGTAACCACTAAAAAACTATACAATGAGACACATTTAAAAACACTATGGGGAAATCAAAATTTTATTATTAAAATTTTTCAAAAACCAATAGGAAACAGTGAAAAGAAAACAGAAAGAAAAAATAGAGAAGAAACAGAAAAATAATTTAAATAGCAAACTTAAGCTGTAACATATCAAAAATCACATTAAATGTAAATGATCTAAATATACCAATTAAAAGAGATTATTAGCATGGATTAAAAGACCTAACCCAGATACATTTTGTCTACAAGAAACTTGCTGTAAACATAATGATATAGGTGATATAGGAAGGTTGAAAATAAAATAAGGGAAAAGATATATCATGCAAAAATTATTATCAGGTAAAGTATGTTTTAATATCAGATAAAGTAGACTGCAAAGTAAAGAAAATTGTCAGAGACAGAGAATGGAATTACCTAATGATAAAAGGGTCATACCACCAAGAAGTCAGAGCAATCTAATTGTATGTGACCAAATAATAGAACTGCAAAATAAGTGAAACAAAAATTCATAGAACTGAAAGAAAATGTAAGATAAATAAACAAACATACAATTATTGTGGGAGACTTCACCACCATGCTCCCTAATATTGTAAGAACAACTAGACAGGAAATCATCAAGAATATAAAATCACTCAACAACATCATCAACCAGTGGGATCTAATTAACCGTTATAGAGAACGCCACTCAACAGCAGAATGCACATTGTTTTTCAGTGCCGAAGGAGCATGTACCAAAATAGACCGTATCCTGGGTTTTAAAACAAATCTCAAAAATTTCAAAGCATGTGTTCTCTGACACCAAGTCAATCTAAAAGTCAATAACAGAAAGATAATAGGAAAGTCTTCAAAAACGTGGAAACGAAGTTTCCAGGTAAACATTCCACATGTCAAAGAGGACATAACACTTGTAAACATTCCACATGTGAATGAGGAATTCTCAAAGAAAAAATTTTAAAATGCAGTGAACTATATAGAAATGAAATAGAACATAATATTTGCGTGATACAGCTAAAACAATGCTGAGAAAAATTTATAACAACTAAGTTAATAAATTTGAAAAGAAGAAAATCTCAAATCAGTAATCTAAGCCCCCACATCAAGTACTTAGAAAGCAAATTATCAAATTAGCTCAAAGTAAGCAGAAGGAAGAAAATAAGAACAATAAATGAAGAAATTAATAAAATTGAAAGCGAAAAAAATAGAGAAAATAAATGAAGCGAAGCTGGTTCTTTGAAAGATCATAAAAATGACAAAATTTTTTTGTAAGTTTGGCAAACTAAGAAAAAAGACACAAGTTATCAATATCAGGAATGAAACGGGATTTCCCTGCAGACACTCCAGATAGCAATAGCAACTGTATAAATGTAAATTTGACAACATAGCTGGATTGGATTAATTCCTCAAGAAACAAAACTACCACATATCACCCAATATTGGATAATTTGAACATCCCTGTAACTATAAAGGAAATTGATTTTATTTTTTCATTTTTTGTTCATTATATTGTATACTTTATTCCAAAGTCAATAAATACAAGTCTATAGCATGAGTTTAAGTATTTCCATTGCATTTTACTTTATGTCAATCACTTTTTGCCAAGCATTATGTCATTTCAAATTTTTACCACGGTAGGCAATGCTGCAATGCATATACTTTATGTATTTATTTATTTATTTATTCATTATTGAAGTGTCGTTGACATACAATATTATATTTGTTATAGATGTACAACATGGTGATTCGACATTTATATACATTATGACATGATCACCATGACAAGTCTGGTAACCATCTGTCACCATACAGAGTTATTGCAGTGTTATTGACTGTTCCCAATGCTGTACGTTACAAAATACGGAATGCTTCATGAATTTGTGTGTCATCCTCACACAGGGCCCGTGCCAATCTTCTCTGTATCTTTCCAGTTTTAGTATATGTGCTGCTGCAGCGAGCACTAAAGGAAATTAAATTTATAATTTAAAACTTTTAAAGAGAGCTCTCCAGGCCTAGAGGTTTCACTGGAGCAATCTATAAAATGCTTAAAGGAGAATTAACATTATTCTACACAACTTATTCCAGAAAAGAGAAGAGGTGAGAGCATTCCTCAATTCATTTTATGAAACTAGTATTTACCTGATACCAAAACCAGACAAAGATAGTGCAAAAAAGGGAAAACTACACACCAGTATCCCCCAGGAATATAGATGTAAAAATTCCTGACAAAGTATTAACAAATTTAATTCAGCAATATATAAAAAGAATTATACAGCAAGACCAAGTGGAGGTTGTTCCTAGGATGCAAGTCTTGTTCAACATTCAAAAATTCAACATCATAATCAACCATATTCACAGGCTAAAGAAGAAAAATCATGTGATCATATTAATCAATGTTTTAAAAATATTTGAAAATAATCAATATCCATTCATGGTTGAAAACTCTTAAAAAATGGCAATAGAAGGAAACTCCCTCAGCTTGATGAAGAGCACTTAAAATTAAAACTATAGATAACATTTGACTTAATGGTGAAAGCTGAAAGCTTTTCTCCTAAGATTGAGAACAAGGAAGGGATTTGCACTCACACTACTCTTATTAAACACAGTCCTGGAAGTTTCAGCTATTGCAATAAGGGAAAAAAAGAAAATAAGAAGCATGCAAATTGTAAGGGAAGAAATGCAACTATTTGCAGATGGCATAATTGTTGTAAATTCAAAGTAGTCTACCAAAAAAGTTTCTGGATCAACTAAGTGAGTTCAGCAAGGTAGCAGAATATGTGATGAACATACAGAAATCAATTGCATTTCTGTATACTAGCAGTGAACAGATGGATACAAAAATTTATGATTGCTTTAAAAAGCAAAAAACGTAAGTGTAAATCTAACCTTCGGTGAAAAACTGTATAGTATTGTGTGCTGAAGACTACGAATCACTGATGAACAAAATGAATGCAGATATAAATAAATGTAGAGCCATGCCATGTTCACGGATTGGAAGACTCAATCTAGTAGATACATCAGTTTTCTTCAAATTAATGTACAGGTTTAACACAATTCCTGTCAACGTCTTATCAAGAGTTTTTTGTAGATATAGACATTATTCTAAAATTTATATGATAAGTCAAAGGACTAGAATTGCTAAAACAGTTTTGAAAAAGAACAATAAAGTGGAACAAATAAAGTCTACCCTATTTCAAGACTTATTATATACCTACATCAATCAAGACAGTAGTTTTGGTGAAAGGGTAGATAAATAAGTCAGTGTAACAGAATAGAGAACACAGAAATGAGCCTACACAAATATGCCCCACCGATTTTTGACGAAGTTAGGAAAGCAATGCAGTAGGGGAAAGATGGTCTTTTCAGCAAGCAGTGCTGGTGAAACTGGACCTCTATAGACAAAAAACAAAATTCGCTTTGACCTCAGCCTCACATCTTATACAAAAATTAACTGAAAATGCATCATGAACTTAAATGTAAAACATATAACTATAAAACATTTAGAAAAAAGGGAGAATCTTCAGGATGTAAGGGCTTGGCAAAGAGTTTTTTGACTTGACAGCCAAAGCAGGATCTATAGTGGAAAAAAAAGATAAATTGAACTTAAAAGTAAACATTTTCTCCATGAAGGGCCTTGTGAAGGGGATGAGAAGACTAGCTAAGACTGGGAGAAATTCTTTGCAAACCCGTATCAAACAAAGGTCTAGTTCTACAATATATAAAGAACTTTCACAACTCAACGGTATAAAAAGTATCAATCAAATTAGAAAATGGGCAAAAGATATAAAGAAGCATTTCATTGAAGAAGATAGTCAGATGGCAAATAAGTACATGAAAAGATGTTGGCATTGGTATCCGTTAGGGAAATGCAAATTAAAATCAAAACGAGGTATCACGACATGACCATCAGAAAGGCTGCAATACAAGCATACCTCATTTTATTGCACTTCACTTTATTGTGCTTTTTATAAATTGAAAGTTTGTAGAAACCCTGCATCAAGCAGGTCTATCAGCACCATTTTTCCAACAGCATTTGCTCACTTCGTGTCTCTATGTCACATTTAGGTAATTCTTGCAATATTTCAAACTTTTTTATTATTATATTTGTTATTGTGATCTATGATCAATGATTTTTGATGTTATTATTGTAATTGTTTTGTGGTGTCACGAACCATCCCTGTATGATGGTGAACTTAACCCATAAATGTGTGTGTTCTGACTGCTCCACTAACCGATGGTCCTCTGTCTCTCTCCCTCTTCGGACCACCCTAGTCCCTGAGACACAATATTGAAATTAGGCCAATTAATAACCCTACATGGCCTCTAAGTGTTCAAGTGAAAGGAAGAGTCACGTATCTCTCACTTTAAGTAAAAAACTAGAAATTATTAAGCTTAGTGAGGAAGGCATGTCGAAAGCTGAGAAAGGCTGAAAACTAAGCCTCTTGCACCAGATGTGAGACAAATTGTGACTGCAAAGGAAAAGTTCTTGAAGGCAATTAAAAATGCTACTCCAGTGAACACGTGAATGATAATAAAGTGAAACAGCCTTATTGCTGATATGTAGAAAATTTTAGTAGTCTGGATAGAAGATCAAACCAGCCACAACTTTCCCTTAAGCCAAAGCCTAAACCAGAGCAAGGACCTAACTCTCTTCAGTTCTCTGAAGACTGAGAGAAGTGAGAAAGCTGCAGAAGGAAAGTTTGAAGCTAACAGAAGTTGGTTCATGGGTTCAAGGAAAGAAACCATCTCCATAACATGAAAGCGCAAGGTGAAGCAGCAAGTGCTGACGTAGCAGCTGCAGCAGCTTATCCAGAAGATCTAGCTAAGATAAGTAATGAAAGTGCTGCACTAAATGGCAGATTTCCAATTTCACCCATTTCCAAATGAAACAGCCATATATTGGAAGAAGATGGCATATAGGACTTCCATAGCTAGAGAGGAGATGTCAGTGACTGTCTTCAAACCTTCAAAGGACAGCCTGACTCTCTTGTTAGGGGCTAATGCAGCCCGTGACTTTAAGTTGAAGCCAATGCTCATTTACCATTCAAAAAATCCTAGGGCCCTTAAGAATTACGCTAAAGCTACTCTGCCTGAGCTCTATAAATAGACCAACAAAGTCTGGATGATAGTACATCTGTTTACAAAATGGTTTACTGAATATTTTAAGCCCACGGTTGAGAACTACTGCTCAGAAAAAAAGATTCCTCTCAAAATATTACTGCTCATTGAAAATGCACCTGGTCATCCAAGAGCTCTGAAGGAGATGTACGAGGAGATTACCAACGTTGTTTTCATGCCTGCTAACACAACATCCATTATGCAGCCCATGGATCAAGGACTAATTTCACCTTTCATGTCTTATTATATAAGAAATACATTTTGTAAGGTTATAGCTGTCATAGACAGTGATTCCTCCAATGGATCTTGGCAAAGTAAGTGGATGAGCAAAGAAAGTGGTTTTTTAAGATGGAATCTACTCCCGGTAAAGATGCTGTGGGGATTGTTGGAATGACAACAAAGGATTTTGAATATTACATAACCTTACTTAATCAAGCAGTGACAGGGTTTGAGAGGATTGATAGCAATTTTGAAAGAAGTTCTGCTGTGGTTAAAATGTTATCAAAAAGCATCCCATGCTACAGCGAAATCATTCATGAAAGAGACAATCAATGCGGCAAACTTTATTGTTGTCTCATTTTAAGAAATTCCCATGGCTACCCCAACCTTCAGCAACTACCACCCTGATCACTCAGCAGCCATCAGCATCAAGGTAAGACCCTCATCCAGCAAAAAGATCTGTAACCTTGCTGAAGGCTCCGATGATGGTTAGCATTTTCTAGCAATAAAGTATTTTTTAATTGATTTTTTTAGACATAATGCTATTGTACACTTAATAGACTACAGGATAGTGTAAACATAACTTTTATATGCTGAAAACCAAAAAATTCATGTGACTCACTTTACTGCAATATTTGCTTTATTGCACTGTTCTGGAACCAAACTCTCAATATCCCCAAGGTATGCCTGTAAAAAATGCTTACAACACCAAATGCTGGTGAAGATGTGGAAAAGTGGATCACTTGTACATAACTGATGGGGATATAAAATGATACGGCCACTTAGGAAAAGTTTGAGTTTCATAAATAAAACTAAACATGCAACTGTCCTATGACCCATTTGGGCAGTTATCTCAGAGAAATTAAAACTTATGTTCACACAAAAACCTACACATGAATGTTTATAGCAGCTTATTCATAATAGCCCCAAATTACAAATACCTCAGATAATGGATGAATGATCAAACAAACTCTAGCACCTCTAAACTATGGACTACTCCTCAATAACCAAAAGGAATGAACTATTAATACACGCAGCAACCTCAATGACCCTCCAGATAATTATGAAGTGAAAAGTCATTCCCAAAACCTTACGTACTGTATGACTACCCTTTTCTAAAGTTCTTGAAAAGACAAAATTATAGAAATGGAGAACGGATTTTCCAGGGGTTAAGGAAAGGGTAAGGGTAGACTGGAAGAGGGTGTGGCTATAAAACAGCAAGATGAGGGATTCTTGTGGTGATGGAATTATTGTGTATCTTGACTATATTAATATCAATATTAATTGGTTGTGATTTTTACTATAGTTTTTCAATATATTACCATTGGGGAAAAGTGGTTGAAGGGTACATAAGATCTCTGTATTATTTCTTACAACTGTATATAAATTTAAAATTATCTCAAATTAAAAAGTTTACTTAAAAAAAAAAGTGGTGGGAGGCCAGCCCAGTGGCATAGTGGTTGAGTTCGCATTGCTCCCCTTCAGTGGCCCATGGCTCACAGGTTCAGAACCCTGGGTGCAGACCTAGCACCATTCATCAAGCCACACTGTGGTGGCATCTCACATAAAATAGAGGAAGATTGGCACAGATGTGAGCTCAGCGACAGTCTTCCCCAAGCAAAAG